GTCCACCAAGACTGGTCCTGGTTGAAGAGTAGAACAAGAAAGCTCTGATAGATAAACTTTTTCATCATGGCTTGAAGCTCCGTTATTATTGATGGGTAGGTCCATCAAGACTGGTCCTGGTTGAAGAGTAGAACAAGAGGACTTTGACTGGACTTGCTTTCTTTACACAACTGAAAAGTCTTTCCTAGAGCTTAATTCAAAATTTTGCAAGCCCTAGTTTCTGATTTTGAAGTTCAACCTTAAGTACAGCTTCAACCCTCCATCCTATCTGCTGCCAATTTTCAGCAAATAAAAGAACAATTGCATGTGGATATGGGTCAATTAACCTATAAAAATAAGAGATTCTAATATTTAATGGGCTGTCACAGAGATGAGGGAGTCAAGCTACTCTCCAAAGCACCTGAGGGCAGGACAAGAAGCAACGGATGGAAACTAATCAAGGAGAGAAGCAACTTAGAACTGAAGGAGAAATTTCCTGACCGAACAATTTATCAGTGGAACAACTTGCCTCCAGAGGTTGTGAATGCTGCAACATTGGAGGTTTTAAAAAGATGTTGGGTAGCCATTTGTCTGAAGTGGTGTAGGGTTTCCTGCCTAGGCAGGGGGTTGGACTAGAAGACCTCCAAGGTCCCATTCAACGCTATTATTCTGGTATTCTATCATTCTATTAAGCCTTTGGTTGTGACTGTTATCCCAGCAACAGGCCATAACTATCCAGCCAGACAAAACTGATTTATTCTTATCCGTTTGGTAGCTGTTTAGAACTACAATGCTGTGTTTCGTGTAAGAAAAATCAATGTCTTTCCATCCAGTTCTTTGACTCAGCATGAAACCTTGTTGCCTTCCTATATTTTGTTCTCACTCCATTCTCTTGTCGCTCTCCTTGTTCTTTTCACTGCGTTATTTATAAATGTGGACAACGGTGATGGGTCCATTTTTGTGTGGGCCTTTTGTAATCAAGGTTTCCGAGTCTCCGAACTGTATGCAATGCAAAAATAAGTGCAATTCCTTGGAGTGCTCATTTGCAGGAAGTGATGCGTAGTGTAAACAATCGTGTAGTTTAATCCTATCATAATCTGCCAGAAATATTGTTCCATGTAGCCCAACAATTAGCAAAAGGTGCTTTGTACCTTGGACTTCCTACCTAAACGGCATTAACGTTGAGCTCACCAATAGAAGGTAAGTCAAATGCGCCTAAAGATGGGTGTAATTTAGCACCTATGTGAAATTTGCACAGTAGGGTCCTTCGTGCTCTCTGAGCTTGGTGGTTTTCCTGCAGACGTTTCATTACCTAAGTGCCTACTAAGTAACATCAGGAAGTGCTAGAAGGATTTGCTCTCTTTATATATACAAATGGTTTGCCCTATTGGGGTTGGTGGATGTGTTTTGGGTGGTTCCTTGTTTAGGTTGATGTTTCCTGTTCGTTTGTCTGAGATGGAAGTTCCTCCACTGGAAAATAAACCCACCAAACTCAAAAAG